AGAGACAATGACGTGGAGCGATGGAGCAGTTGGGGGCTTTAGATCCAGAGAGGGAGAGTGACTGTGTGCTGAAGACTTGGTGGGGAGGGGAGAGGGAGGATAGTGTAGGGGGCAGGCTTGCAGGGTATACCCATTGGTTGGTTGATGATGCATATAGGGGATTGTAACCATTGCAATGATACGATGTACGATAGAATGAATGTAAAACTAATGTTCTCCATGTAAACTATCATATAATTCACAATAAAACACTAATAAAAAAAAAAGACAATCTATGATGGTGAGGAAGAGGATGGAGGGAAAATTATTCATGGGCTAGAGGGTAGACACATGTTAACATGTGTTAACAGGGCAGGCAATATACAACAAGAGGGAGGTTATCAGAGGAAAGATAAAGGTTGAGGGAGGCACAGGGACACACACATTTAAATGCAATGTTAAAGTGAACAGAGGTAAATACTGTTAGCTGTTGGTACATGGAGGGGATTGTAATCACTGTAATGAAGCAAAGCATATGATTTGTTGAATGTAAAACTTGATGAGCTGCTCTGTAAGTCTTCACTAAATTCACAACTAAAAGTTAAAAAAAAAAAAGACTTTCAGATCTGGATGGTAGCATACATGAAAACAGAGTTCTTATACAAAACATGGATATGACTTCCCCTTCCTATCTAAATGTTTTTCAGAAGTAAAAAATATGGAACATGTTGGTTGACTGGCTCTTAATAAGGAACCAAGATGCATGTATAAAGGGGCATGACAGTGTCACCTGAAGTCAGCAATGGTGATGAAGATCTCCTGGAGCACAGGACTGAGGACAGAATGTGGGGACTCCTCTTGCAACAGCAGCTGCAATGAGAAAGGAAGAACTTTAGAGTGTCCAGAACAGGCCAAGGGACTAGCCAGGTGATCAGGGATGTGGATGGCAGCAGTAGGTTCTTCAGCAGACCTTGCTCCTCAACTCCAACCAACTGGTGGCTTAAAAGTGGCAGGGGCTAAGAGTTTATCCTCTGAAGCCAGAACATGGCTCTGCCTCTTACTAGTTGCTTGAGCTGACATGTTACTTAACCTTATTGGCACAGGTTATATGTTGGGCTGCTAACCACAAGGTCAGCAGTCTGAATCCATCAACCATTCTGTAGAAGAGAAGTCTGTCTGCTCCTGTAAAGATTGATAGTCTTGGAAACTTTACATAAGGTCATCAAGAGTCAGAATTGACTTGATGGCAGTTGATTTGGTTTTGGGGTTTTTTGGTATTTCAGTTTCCTCATCTCTGAAATGAGTTAACAGTACTAACCTTCATAAGGTGAATGTGAGTACTAAATGAACTGTTAGTTTGTTATTATTTTTATTACTGGTGACTATTTCTAGTTTGGATTCCTGGTGTGGTGCTGTATTGGACACAGTTCAAACCCACCAGGTGTTCCTTGCTGTGAGTCAAAACCAAGTGGATGGCACTAAACAACAACAACATTTCTAGTTTGGATAAGTCCAGTTTAACATGCTAACTTCTCTTTCTATTAAACCAGCCCTCTCGTCTTTGTTGTTATTGTGTGTCATCAAGTTGGTTCTGACTCAAATAGTGATCTCATATAGGGTTTCCAAGGGGCAGCTGGTGGGCTTAAACTGCTGTCCTTGACGTTAGCAGTCCAGTGCTTATCCTACAGTGCCACAACAGGACTCCACATCTCTACTCTAATGCCTAATAGTAATTCTGAGTTACCTGTCCTAGAAAAGGAATAACTCTCCAAATTACAAATTAGCAGAGAGAAAGTTGCTGTGTTGTGCTCTGCTGTAAAAACCTGAAGACTGATGGAGAGAGAAAAATGAGCCTGGAGAATCAGCCAGCATCGGGGTTTGAGGTGTGATTCTAAATACATTACTTAACTTCCTTGGGTCTGAGTTCCCTCATTTGTAAATGGAGGACATACAATCTAAGAGGGAGTTGATGTCAGTTGATGTCAGGAAGCCTCACTAGATTGTCTCCCTAGCCCTCACAGCCATATTTCTGTTAAGTCATTCTGCCCCACTGACCACAACTGATCTGTTTTGGAACAGACACTGTTGTTAAGTGCCGTAGAGCCAATTCCGACCCACAGTGATCCTGTATAGGGTCTCCAATGAGGTTGAACCACCGACATTGCAGTTCAAACATCTGATGCATTAGCCCACAGTGCCACACCAGGACTCCAGAATAGACACTAAGGCTAATTAAATTCTCTCGCAGGAACTTGGAATTGGGACAAAGAGCTTCAATCTGTCTGGTCAGTGTACTGAATGGAAAACATTTTAAAATTTGAGAGCAGTGGGTCCTATTGGAAAAGTAGCAGAGCTGACTTGTCAGAAGAGAGAAAAAGGGAGAGGGAGACAGACAGGAAAATACATTAAAAGAAGCAACAATTAAGAGTTCTCTGAGTCTGAGGGATCTGTGGAACATCCAGTTATCCTCAGAATAGAAACCTCTAGACTCTGGTAGTGTACTGCTTACGAGTCAAGCTGCTAACTCAAAGTCAGCAGTCGAAACTACCAGGTGTTCTGTGGGAAAAAGATGGAGCTTTCTGCTCCCATAAAGATTTACAGCCTCAGAAACCCTACGCAGGGTTGCTACGAGTCAGAACCAACTCCAGGGCACACCACCACCACCACCAGTGGATTTCCCGTACCTGCTTCCAAAATGACCTCACTTAGGAATGGAGGCTAGTACCCAGCATTCAGTAAATGCTCAATAAAATATTATCAGGCTCCTTTCCTGGACTTTCTGAGCTTGCTTTTTACTTTCAAACTTTTCAACTTTAGTGCAACTCTGAGATCTTGCTTACGGCCTGCTGTTCAACCTTTACTTATTTTCTCAAAGAGCTCATTTGTTTTTACAGTTTTAGAATCTGGAAGGGATGAACATAAGACTCCTCAGCCTTGAAAACCTCTCCGAGGGCTCCTCGCCCAAATCTAGTTATCTCAGGGGCAATACCAGTACAATCACATCTAAGACCTAGCATTTTAGTATTAAAAGGTGAATTAACACTCTCTTCCCTCCAAAGGACACACCTCCCCAGTTCTCAGTAGTTGTCAGCAGCGCCCTCCCTAGAGCTCATGACACACATGGCTTTGTTTCTCCTTTATTATCAATCACAGTGATAGCCACAGCTGCTCTGCAACTTCTAGGATTCTCTATCACTGCTAGTGCTCACGCTCTGTATGACTCCTGCTGTGGTGGTGTAGGATAAGCACTGGACCACAAGGTCGGTTTAAGTTACAAGGTTGGTGGGTCAAACCTACCAGCCGTTCCTCGGAAATCCTACACAGGGTTGCTATGAGTCGGAACCAACTCGACAGCACTAACAACAACCACATGGCGCTGTAGGATCAGCCTTGTACTGTGAACCACAAGGTTGGTGGTTCAAATCCACTAGCCATTCCTTGGGTTGCTATGAGACAGAACTGATTCAAAAGCACTTAACAACATCACGGAGAATCCAAGGGGCCCTGATTGTTGTTAAGTGTTGTCGAGTCAGTTCTGACTGATAATGATTCTGTATAGGGCTTCCAAGGAGCAGCTAGTGGGTTTGAACTGCCAACCTTGTGATTCACAATCCAGTGCTAATCCTATGGTGCCAGTCCTGATGACATAGTAGATTACAAATTGAGCTGTTGACCACAGGGTCAGCAGTTTGAATCTACTAGATGATCCTCACAAAAGAGATGAGGCTTTCTGCTCCCATAAAGATTTACAGCCTTGGAGAAGGGTTGCGATGAGTCAGAACTGACTCCATGGCACACCAGTACAACCATCATGGGGAATTCAGAAGTGAGAGACTCTTTGCATTTATAAAGTACTTGTGTAGTAGGCACTGCAGTATAGTCCATTATGGTTCTTCTACCCATATAGTCTAAAAAATTCTAAAACTCCCACCAAACACCGTTTTTGCCCTGCTGGGTTGAAGTGAAGGTGGGAGAAGATGCTGATAGCATAATATGATTTAGTTGTGAATGATTGTTAACAAGGCTAACTGTGATTGTAAAAACCTGGAACCTGAACGTGCGTATAAAATGAGCCATTTCAGAAGTAGGAGGGGTAATCTCACCTAGGAAGGAGAGCCAGGAATGGAACACATCTTCTGGAACCTGAGCCCTCCTCCGAGAGTCAGATACAGAAAGCTGTGATACTGGAGGAGAAGCAGCGGCAGCAGCAGCAGCAGCAGCAGCAGAACCAAAAGCCAGAGTGGTGGGCTTCCTAGCCCACAGAGCAAGTAAAACTGAGTGCCTTTGGGCAGGAGGCTCATTTGTGGAGTAGGCACTTAATTGGGGAACTAGGTTTTCTGACCCATGGAGTTAGAGCTTAGTGCCTTTGGGTTGAGGCTTAGAACTAAGTGGAGTGTTCTATGCACATCTATCAGCAGCCCTGAAAGAGCTCTGTAACATTGTTAAGCAAGGCGGAGATCTAGGCTGAGAAGAGACTGTCCTAACTGAAAGAACTGTGCCCTGAGCAGTTGCTGACTCTGCATATAACATGTTAACTTCCCTAATAAACCCCAACTGTGAGTACAGTGTTGGAGTTCTGTGTGGTCATTGCAAAAGATTATCGAATCCAGTAGACAAGTAGAGTGCTGCTATGGGAGGGATTTGGGGCACCATTTTTTGCAGTACCACTTGGGGTGACTGCCCGTATAACAGTTATCCCCCTTCTCTGGGAACTGCATATACTACACAGAGGATGCCCCGAAGTTATGCCCCTACTATAGGGGGTGCTCTGTCATACCTGATTGATGCAGGGGTGGAGAACTGACTGGTTGTTAACACCCTTTGGCATTTTTGAGGACAGACACAGGTTCTGCAATCTCCTAGAGATGTGAGTCATGGTGATAGCAGAACAGCTCCTGGCTTTAGGACCCCTGGAGTTGTTCTGGAACCCGTTCTTCTGGAGGCTTGGTTGGTAAACCTCTTCCCTAGATTCTAAAAGAAGCCCAGCATCTTTTCTTAATTAAAAATTTAAAACTTAAGTGGCTTTTGTCACTTAACACAAGAAAAATCTTAACAAAATGTGACAATTGTTTCAAAAGTGATACAGGCATTATATCTCTGTTTTACAGGTAGCATTAAAGAGGTCTATGAAGTCTGTGTTTTGTTCAAGCTTGTTAAGTATGTACTTCACAGAACTGGAACTAGGAACTTTGTCTACTGTTTTAGGAATCTCTAAAATAGCTCCATTTCTTCTCTACTCTGCTTCAAATAGCTCAAACTCTCACTAAGACAATGGGCAAAGTCTTTCAGCACTTATTATCGTACCAGGAAAGGGTCTGCCTGAAACATCATTCTCAGACATTCTGCCATCTTGCAGACATAGCTAGGTTGGAATCTCCGGCTTACCATGTAAGGGCCCCACCCATTGGTCTGTTCTTTTTCTCTCAACCCTGTTATAATATTCAGGGCTTGGATTAGGCTATCTACCTGAATTAATTTCACCCCAATTCTGTCATTATTTTACTCTACGTCAAAGTTGACACTGATATTTTCTTGAAAATTTATATTTTATGAAAAGTTCTTATCAGATTTCTTTAACAACTTTTTGAAGTATAACAAGCACAATAAGCTGCCAATATTTGAAGTATATAATTTGATGACTTTTGATATATGTTTACATCTATGAAGCCATCGCTGCAATCAAGATATCTATCACCCTCAAAAGTTTTTTGAGCCCTTTTATAATTCATCCTTCCTGCCCCTCCCCATCCTATCTCTAGACAGCCATTGATCTGCTATCATTATAGATCAGTTTGCATTTTCTAGAAATTTCTCTAAATGTAATCATATAATATATCTTCTTTTTTGTCTGGCTTCTTTTACTCAGCATAATTATTTTGCGATTCATCTAAGCTGTAGTATATATCAACAGTTTATTTCTTATTATCACTGAGTGGTAGTGGTGGTGCTGGCGGTATGCTGTTGAGTCGGTTCCAACTCACAGCAGGGTTTGACATGTCAAACAGGGTTTCTGAAGCTGTAAATTTTTATAAGAGCAGAAAGAGTCACCTTTATCCCATGTAGCAGCTGGTAGATTCAAACTGCTGACCTTGTGGTTAGCAGCCCAACTCATAACTCACTACCAAGTCTCCTTTTATTGCTGATTAGTATTCCACTGGAGTCCTGGTGTGACACTGTAGGATAAGCACTTGACCACAAGGTCGGTTTGAAACACAAAGTTGGTGGTTCAAACTCACCAGCCTCTCCTCAAAAACCGTATACAAGGTGGCTATGGGTTGGAAATGAATCAACAGCACTTAGCAACAACAACAGTAGTCCATTACATATAGATACACCACAATGTGTCAACCTATTTCATCTACTGATGAACATTTGAATTATTCAGAGAACTTGGCTATTACAAAAAGAGCTGAGTATTCAAGTTCAAGTCTTTGTGTGGATATATGCTTTCAATTCACCTAGGAGTGGAACTTCTGGGTCATACCAAGGACTGCTAGAAGAACAAATAAATCTATCTTGAAAGAAGTATAGCCAGAATGAGGATGGCAAGACTTTGTCTCATATACTTTGGACATGTCATCACAAGGGACCAGTCCCTGGAGAGGGACATCATGGTGGGTAAAGTGGAGGGTCAGTGAGAAAAGAGGAAAACTCTCAATGAGATGGACTAATACAATGACTACAACATTGGACTCCAACATAGGAACAATTGTGAGGATGGCATAGGACCTGGGAGTGTTTTGTTCTGCTGTGTAGAGTTGTTATGAATTGGAAACAACTTGATGGCACCTAACAACAATAACACGACAACTGTATGTCTAACTTTTAAAGAAACTGCCAATGTTTTACAAAGTGATTGTGCCATTTTACATTCCCCCCAGCACTGTGTGAGTTTTACTTGCTCCATATCCTCCTCAACACTTGGTATTGCCTTTCTTTTTTATTTTAGCTAGTCTAGTGGATGTCCTCTGGTAGCGCAGTGGTTACGAATCAGGCTGCAAACCGCAAGGACAGCAGTTCAAAACTACCAGCTGCTCCATAGGAGAAAGATGAGGCTTTCTGCTCCTGTAAAGATTTACAGCCTCGGAAACCCTGTTCAGGGTCACTATGGGTCAGAACCGACTCGACGGCACTTAACAACAACAACAGTGGATGTCCTGGTATGGCATTGTAGGATAAGCACTGAACTGCTAACCGAAAGGCAAGTAGTTCAGACTCACCAGCCACTCAATCGAAATGCTATACAGGGCCTCTATGAGTTGGAACTGACTAGATGGCACTTAACAATAGTGGACATTTAGTAGATTTTCATTGTGGTGTTAATGTACTTTTCCATAATGGCAAGGATGGTGAGCATCCTTTCATGTGTTTCTTTGATACAAATCTTTTTTTGGTGAATTTCCCTTTTTTTCCCCACACTCTCTTCCTAGTTCTTTGACTCTTTTTATTTGGATATTGATTAACTATGCATTGATGTGTGTTATGAAGATACTGGTAAATGCCTTAAAATTTAACAAGAGCCAGTGGCAACCCATTGATACCAATTTTTGTGGAAGCAGAACTTTGGAATCATGCCATTTTGATCTCCATAAAGAACTCCACTCATTCTTATATCTACAGTACATAACTTTGTTTTTGATGTATTACATGGAGTGGTTCTCTGACAACTTTGTGAAGTCTGGTCACTTTCAGACAATGAGGGCAAAGATGAAATTTTCCAATAAATATTTATCCTTTATCAAAGTATCAGAGTGTTCTAAATATGGAAGATCCTTGATAACTGTCTATAATTTAACAAACCTGTTAACTATTAGTGTTCAATCCTGAAAATGAATCATCAATCTAATCAGCCTTACAGGTCATAACTGCTCATATCCCTGGAATATATAAGAAATCACAGACTCAGAATTTTGGAGCTTTAGAGGAACTGAAGGGAATACGTCACAGATGAGAGAACCATAACACCAAGAAGTACTCACTCAAGTGTGTCACCTCCACTGTAAAGTCCTGTAGATCATTTGACATAGACTCAATCACTTATTACTCTGTGCCCACAGTATACCCATTTAAGCTTCTGTCACAGCCCTTATGATGCTTGATTAAACCTTGTTAGGCTACAGCAACGGGTTATGTCTTCTTTGCCTTTATAGTCCCAGTTCCCAGGACATTGCCTAGAATTGTCAGGTATTTCATAAGGGAATGAATAAATTAGTTGGTGACCGAGTGAGTATAGCTGGAATAAATTAAAATAGAACAAATTACAATAACACTAATAAAATCATGTTTCTCAAGTACTTGGTGGGGGTGGTGGTTATGTGCTGTGGAGTCGGTTCTGACTCATAGCCATCTATACAGGGTTTCCGAGGCTGTAAATCTTTACGGGAGCAGAAAGCCTCATCTTTCTCTCGTGTAACAGCTGGTAGTTTCGCACTGCTGACCTTGCGGTTCACAGCCCGATTCAAGTACTTAGTATGTGCTAAATACCAAGTTACATGTCTTACAGTTATTTCTTATTTAATGCTCATAATAGCTCTGTCAAGTAGCCATGGCTATTAATTCATATACATGAAGTAAGAAGCACTGATAATTATTTCCCCAAATTCACATGGTTAGAAAAATGCAGAGCTGGGGCTTGAATCTAAGTGTTTTATGCTAGTCTGCCTTAACATTGTTGATTGATTAATGAGAATGTAGAATTAGCCTTATTAAGAAATTTAAATACTGCTTCTTTCCTTTCTATTCTATTGTTTTTCAAGAATAGCTACATTTGTGGGGTGCCTCTGAATATTCCTCCTTGAAGCAGAGATATATTCACATATATATATATACATATATAGAAGAGGCTAAGGAAATTGACAACATAGGTAAAGCCACTAAAAACCTTATTGGCCACGAGACTGAACTTGCATGGTCCTGATAATTTGTGATAAGATCATAATACTTACATTTAAGATACGCACAATGTCTATTATGTGGCTTTGGATGAAAGATTCTGTGGTTTCATCATAAGGTAAAGTTCGGCTGAGAGAAGACAAAGATCTTAGGAATGTCAGCTTCTCAAATTCACCCTGAATTTGTGGGAAAATGATAAAAACACAATTTTACAATACAACCCCATCTCATAACTATAAAGGACTTTTGAAAAACATTTTGGGACGTTTATAACATTTGACATCTCATTTAATCCAATACTTGTCTTTTTATAAGACATCAGTGAACTGAGAAGAAATTTCAGTAAAATTCCTTGTCCACTGGTGCTTCCTAAGTATGGGAGCTCATTTCATCTCCCTTTTGGTCTCTCCATTGCTCCACGATGGCTTTCCCCACATCAGACCCTGTACAGTGTTGCCTAATTAAGCCTCCTAAAGGTGACCACTGTTGCTGCTACTTCCTGGCTTTCTTGATGTCATAAAGATTCATTATTTTGAGTCTCTAAGGTTTTCTCCACCACTTCACTATCAGTTTGTCATACTATGGTAGCTTGCATGTTGCTGTGATGCTGGAAGCTATGCCACTGCTATTTTGAATGCTGATTAGTCAACTATGGTGGATGACTTTCAGCTGATCTTCCAGACTAAGACTCAGAAGAAGGAGAGACTGAATGCTTAGCCACTGAAGACCTTATGAATAGCAGTGAAACAATGTCAGATAGCACCAGAATAATGAATATTGAAACATGAATATTACCAATATATTGTCAGATAAAGTGTTGAAAAATGAACCCCTCAGGCTGCAAGGCACTGATGACATAAATTGGTAAAGCTTTTTGGACCTTCATTTGCTGACGGGACACAGCTCAAACTGCTGCAAATATCCATATAATTGGAACATGAAATGTATGAAGTATGAATCTAGGAATATTGGAAGTTGTCAAAAATGAAATGAAACACATAAACATCAATATCCTAGGCATTAGTGAGCTGAAATGGACCGGTATTGGCCATTTTAAATATAACTATCATACAGTTTACTATGTTGGAAATTATAAATTGAAGAGGAATTGTGTCACATTCATCATCAAAAAGAACATTTCAAGATCTATCTTGAAGTATAATGCTGTCTGTGATAGGATAATATCAATATGCCTACAAGGAAAACCAATTAAAACCACTATTATTAAATTTTATGCACCGACCACTAAAGTCAGAAGCCAGTGAAGAATTCTACCAATTTCTTCAGTCTGAAACTGATCAAACATGCAATCAAGATGTATTGAAAATTAACTGTGATTGGAATGCAAAGGCTGGAAACAAAAAGTAAGGATTAGTAGTTGGAAAATATAGTCTTGATAATAGGATGATGTTGGAGATTGCAGGACCAATGACTTCTGCATTGCAAATACCTTAACATAAAAGACAATTATATACATGGACTTCAAACCGATGGAATACACAGAAATCAAATTTACTACATCAGTGGAAAAGTTCCATATCATCACTCAAAACCAAACCAGTGGCAGACTATGGAATACACCGTCAATTGCTCAAATGCAAGTAAGTTCAGTCTGAACATGAAGAAAATTAAAACAAGTCCACAAGAGCCAAAATATGACCTTGAATATATATATCCGACCTGAACTGACAGATCATCTCAAGAACAGATTTGATTCATTACACTACTGACCAAAAATTACAAGAGTTGTGAGATGACATTAAGAATATCATACAAGAAGAAAGCAAAAGGTCATTAAGAAGACAAGGGAGAAAGAAAAAAACCAAATGGATGTCAGAAGAGCTTTGAAACTTGCTTTCCATGGTAGAGATGCTAAAGCAAATGGAAGAAATGAGGAGGTAAAGGGCTGAACAGAAAATTGCAAAGGGCAACTCAAGAAAACAAAGTCAAATATTATACTGAAATGTGTAAAGATCTAGTGTTAGAAAACCAAAAGGGAAGAATACGCTCAGCATTTCTGAAGCTGAAAGAACTGAAGACAAAATTCAAGCCTTGACTTGAAATACTAAAAAATTCTTTGGGTAAAATACTGAATGATGCAGAAACCATTAAAAGAAGATGGAAGGAATACACAGAGTCACTGTAACTAAAGGAAATGGTCAATGTTCAACCATTTCAGGAGGTAGAATATGATCAAGAGCCAAAAGTACTAAAGGAAGAAGTTCAAGAAGCACTGAAGGCATTGGGAAAGAAATGGATGGAATACAAACTGAAATTTTTCAACGAAGTGATATAGCACTGGAGGCACTCATTCATTTATGCAAAGAAATTCGGAAGGCAGTTACCTGGTCTACTGACTGGAAGAGATCCATATGAAGAGATCCATATTTGTGCACCTTCCAAAGACAAATGACCCAACAGAATGTGGAAATCATCAGACATCATTAACATTAAATACAAGTAGCATTTTGCTAAAGATAACTAAAAACCTCTACAACAGAATATTGACAGGGAACTGCCAAAGGTTCAAGTTGGATTCAGATGAGAACGTGTAACAGGGGATATCATTGCTGACATCAGGTGGATCTTGGCCGAAAGCAGAGAATACCATAAAAGTGTTTACCTGTGCTTTCTTGATTATGCAAAGGCTTTTATTATAATTAGAGAGAGACAGGTTTTATTATGAATTGAGTGGTAGTTTGCATAGCAGAACATCAATTTTGCAATCAACCAATCATATTTTGTTTCACTACAATGATCAAAGTCCCCTCCATGCACCATCAGTTATCAGTATTTGCCTCTATTCCCGCTTTGTTTTTTTGTTTCTTTTGGTGTACACGAAAACATGGAGGAATATATAATCTTTTAAATAGTCAAGGAGCACATTTTGCAAGCCAGCCTCCTGCCCACCAACACACAGCCTTTCTCTTTCCATGAGTCTAGAGTCTTCAGCTGCTCTGTCTCTCCATGCCACACCTCTGCCTCCATTTCTGGTGTCCTTGCTTCTCTGGTTAGGAGTCCACATTCCATTCATTCTCTTCCCTCTTGTTAGTTTTAGGGTTCCTTGTTGCAGGAACGTAAGATTAACTACTCCCCCCCTTTTTGTTACTCAACTTCTGTCTTTACAGTTGTGATAATTGCAGTTAGTTATGACAACAAGTACTATTGAATCAAAAGAATCCTATCCCTATCTCCTTTCACCATACCCATCTGTTGTTGTTGTTGT